AACGTAGGTTTGTTTAGAGTGACCTTCTCTTAGATGGATTGCCTCACAGGGCTGACGAGCTCCATCTGCCCGGGGGGCCGGGAATCGAACCCGGGTCGTGCCCGGGGGGCCGGGAATCGAACCCGGGTCGCAGCGGTGAGAGTCCTGCACCCTAACCACTAGACCACCAGAGGCCCCTTATTTATATTTAATTTAAATTATTATTTATAATGCAATCAATAATCCCAGGGTAAAGAGACGATGGCTACAGAGCGAGACTCAGTGGGATATAGATTTCAGGTTACAAGTCAACAAAGATGTAATAACTCACCTTAGCTGCAGTATATTCCTCAGAGCTCTGCAAGCTCGTTCACCACCCAGGGATATTCTCAGGAGCAGATCAAATCACTGAAAGATGATTCTTTCCATGTGCCACAGGACAGAGAGCAGAAAATACAGTCACTGGAGCCCAAGTCACATGGACTCTGAGACACAAGAGCCGTATAAATATGAGCAAGTGAAGTGATACATCCCTGCCCTGCCTGGAGGCTCCAAGCCCAAGCAACTCAGCTCCTGCAGCAGTGAGGTTGGCTACTCCCACCCAACAATGATCTTCATCAATCAGGGACCGGACTAATAGAAGTCCACACATTATCCTCTTTGCACTCATTCCAGTGAATAGCACCTATGGCCTCAAGCAGGAGCTCACACATACCTTGCATGTGAAATTCCACCAGCAGTTGAAACCAGACATTGTGAAGTGTTGGTCTGGCCTGCTTGATTTCATATCCTTCAAGTGATAGGGTAAATCTCCTAAAACCTTTGCCAAATTTTGGGAGAAGCCTCCAGAGCTCTCTGGCAATTGCAGTTCTTACTGCACAGGTACTCTTGTATTTAAGCTGCTGTATTTAAGACTCTGCAGGGCTGGCTGCCCCAGAATGAAGAGTAAGTGCCCCTGAAGACATGGGAAAACACTCCTGGACTGAACTGTTGCCTTAAGAGACCACAGATTAAAAAGACTCCAGGCCAATTTAGTGTAGGAGATAAAGAGAGTAGGTCCTTTAACCTCAGGCCTGACAGTGGTTCTGTGATTTTATAATAAGGTCCATCCAATCCTAGATTTGTCCACCCCCCGTTCTTCCTCCCGACACGCCCCTTTGGGAATTGGGTCTGGGGGCATATGGGACCCCTTCTTCCCCATCTTCCTCTTTGTCACAGCATGTCCAGTCATTGGAGCTCCTGCAAAGTTCTGGGTTTTGAAGGATGCTTTGACTATGATGTATCTTCTTGTTCAAGCCAGGTGCAAATGTTCTTAAACAGAAAGAAGGCCTACCTTGACGGAAGTCTAAACAAGCTAAGGAATTTATAAGTTAGATATGAAAGGGGGTAATAGGATTGGGTAAATGTGAAAACTACTGTGCTAAAGGGTGGCATATTATACAGCTTTATTAAAATCTACATTCACCACACAA